AATTGAATTATTAAATCCAAAACTTAAAGGCCCAATTGCATAAGCTTTAAACTTTAGGGACTGAAGCTTTAAATTTTAACCCTAATGTGAAATTGCAAGCAAGGACCTCTAATTAATCAATTTGCATGTGAAGCTCCCATTCCCAAATCTTACAAATCTGAAAACCCTAAAGAAAATGTTTTCTTCTCATCTTTTCATCCTTGGGCGGCCAGAGCAGAGGCACCGACCTACATCGATGCCGCTTGCAACAGCGCTTGGCGTTGCTACACTCGTTGGAATACCTTTTATTAAAACATTAAAATTCTGTAATTGTTAAAATTTCCCAAACTATTTTTAGTCCAAATTATGAAAGTTAACCAAGAATAACATACCAAATAGTTTTCAAATTAAACAAAACTAGACCCAAAATTATCAAATCTGAAAACTTCAAAATATTGCAAGAACCAAAATTCCAAAAATTTGATTCTCAATTATTCAACATGAAAAGGCTCTGATACCACTTGTAGGAGAAATTGTTATCATAAAATCATCAGATCTTTCATGTTAGATCATCAAGAAATTCAAAAACTATAGCGGAATTAGACATGGTTAATGCAATAGTTGAATCTCACAGTTTAATCTTCCAAATCAACACGTAGCTCTTAATTCTCTCGAGTGATGGGAGGCAGAACAGAATGAGCAATGCACGTGTGATTTGGGGACCATAATGCAAAACAAAATGGGAGAGGCCCAATAGATAGCTAAAGTCGGTCTTCGGTTTGGGAAGTCGGAATCGGCATCGCCCACTAAGAGCCCATCATTTACCCGTGAGCAAAATTGGACAGTTGCTCTATCCGCACTTGAATCGGATTCTGTTGAAATAAGCAACCAATATCTGATGCGAGGCCTTTATACGATTACGATAAAGATCGAATCGATTAGTCAGCTTCGCCTTGGCGCGACTTTGAATGTATAGAATGCACCTTAGCAGGAGACTGACAATTTACCATATCAGAGGTTGTGGGCTACCCTGAAAGGAGTAGCTACCTAGTGCGATAGCTTGCTTTTACTAATACTGGAGCAACTTCTTTACTCACCGTGATTGACATCGAAAGAATAAGGTCTTTAGTTCTTTAATTGAAGGAGCTATTCCTTCTTTAGGAAAAGAGGTTCTCGAAAGCAGGATATTTAAGCTGCTTCGGGCGAGCCCGCTAATGGTTTGTCTTAGCTTTGCAATGAGCTAGAAAGCAAGTAATGAGAGGGACATGCAGTTGTCTTCCTTCTTCCTGTGTGGAGGAATGCCGATAGATCTTTTTTTATCTTAGTCAAATGATCGATTCATTCTTCAATCGCAACAGGCAGACCTTCTTAATAATAGATCATTTCAAGCCCTTCTACGCCCATCTTCTCCTGTGCCCCTTACTCAATTCCTAAGCAATTGTGGGGCAGGAAGAAAAAGAACGACCCTAACTCCATTCATTCAGCCATAATCGTATTTATACAATGACGGCCTTTGACCTAATTTGGCCTATCATAAAATTAGGAATATCAGCCCAGTCTCTATACATAAAAGATCCAAACTTTAATTAGATACATTAAAGCCTAAAACATCGAAATCTTATTGGATCACTTTAAACGGGCTTGACGAAATTTGATGGGGAAATCTACACAACTGCTACAATCTAACAATCTTGTTAAATTATTTCAAAACTCAGGTGTTAACTTAATTTTTTAATAGTAGTAGATAACATTATAAAATTAAAAAATCTACCTACCTGTAGGTTTCTAGGTAATTTTCTCCTAAATTAAAGACTATCAAATGAGAAAATTACCTAGAAACCTATATTTAAAGACCAATTTTCAAAAAGAAGAAAGATTAATTTTCATTTAAAAAATTAGGTGATAATTAAAAATTATTTGATGAATTAATACAAATTTAATAATAAAAAGCATTTCATATTTACACCCCAACGGCCCAACCCAACACAACCACCCGCTTTAATCAATCTTTTCTCTCTCCTTTGCCTTCTTTATCGGCTTCTCTTTCTTTCTCGTTGCTGCCGTCGGAGTCCACCACAGCGACGCTTACAGCAACGACTGTTAATCGTAATTCTGGTGAATGGATCCACCAAGGGGATTTTCCATTGAAAGCACCGCTCTGTCCACGATCCGTAGCTTGCTTGGACTTTTTAGATCTACAATCCGAAGTCACTGCTCCATTTTCAGGTCGTCCCTTATTCATGGCTGCTTGATCTTTTCTCCGCCATGAGGTTTAGCCATTTGGACACACTTGGATCTCTGTATCATCATCAACCCTCATCCAAAAAAAGTCCACCATCCCCATTTCTACGATCATCTTCTTCTCCCTTGCACACGTTGCTATGATTGATTACACTTGTCTATGTATGGTATTTTTGAGCTTTCAGTTACTTTGTTCCGTTGGTTGTAAAAAGTTTCTTTTTCCCATTTTTTGTTTTTTTGGATGTGTTAGTATTGATTTGGGAGTAATTTTTTTATTTTTTATTTTTAGTTGTGGTACACTGGTGGTGGTTTGGAAGGGTTAAGGTAACTAATGATAGTTAAAGGCTAGAATAATAAAAGAGATGCTCTACAACATTTTTTTGATCGGTATGCATTGAACATTATGTTGTGATGGTTGTTGGACAACAAGAATAGTGGACAAAAATAGATCTATGTTCTTGTTTAATAGTGATTTGAATAGAAATTGAGTAGTCAACATGGTCATGCTTGATCTTAGAGAGTTTACTGTGTCAAGATGACATATTTAAAATCTGATATCCCATTTATGATCATGAATTTGAGTTGAAGGTTGTAGTGGTGGTACATTAGAGGTGGTGGTGGTGGTGGAGATCGGTGGTTGATTGTGATGCTGAGCTACGGAGCTTGCAGATTTGTTTGTGGTGATCCTACCAAATATGTCTTTATTGTGACTGATTGAGACCATTTATGTTAATTGTGACTATTTTATGTTAATTGTGACCATTTTGCATTAATTGTGACCAATTGTGACTTGATTAGATAACGTCACAATTAAGATTGACTTGGTCTCAAATAGTCACATTAAAGACAAATTTGAGCACAAACGGTCACACTAAAAACATATTTGGTCACAGTTAGTCACAACTTGTGATTGTGCCTCTTTTTTTTTTTTTTTACAAGGTGTCCTATTCTAGACTAATCCTTGGGTCTGTGATCCGGCCCCTCTTCACACAGTCCGGTTAATCGCAGGATGTGCCTCCAACTGGCCAGGGTCCGAGCGCTCCCCACCTGGTCTGACAAAGTGCCAAGCAAGCCAATACAAGTTGCACCTTGCCTTCCAAGAATAATCATTGCCTTCCAAGTTCCCACTTGCATTCCAAGAATAAATCCTTGCCTTCCAAATGTTCCCTTGCCTTCCAAGAATAAATCCTTGCCTTCCAAGAGCCCCATGTTTCGAACTCACGACCTCTGCTCTGCCAGGTTTGACAGCATCCGTCCTTTGCCAGTGGAGAAGTGCCCTGGGGGGCATGATTGTGCCTCTTTTTGAACCATTAGGTGTAGGTGCAAGTGAAAAATGGTTTGGAGTTGGTGGTGGAGTAATGGTAATCTGAAAATAAGAAAATGTTGAGTGCATTTAAAATGAGGAAAGAAAAATATTGAAATAAGTCATATAATATTTTTCGATCACAAATCACAAATTTTATATGTCTCAATTTTTTTATCGATCACAAATATCAAATTAATAGAACACGTTTCACTTTTGGGTCATAAATCGTAAATTTTTTAGGCCACGACTTATTTCACGATTATAAATTATCATATTAATTGGTTGCAAATTATTTTTCGATCACAATTATCAAATTAATTGATCACAACTTAATAAATTGTGAATGACAATCATAAATTTAGTGACAATTTTATATTTTTTCAAGTCACGTCATTTATTAGTCACAATTATCAATCTTATCGGTCACAAACACTCTTCACCCCCTTCCACCAAATCCTCGACCCCACCCCAACCTAAATGTCGCACTATCAAATTGAAAATAAGCAAACCACCAACAACAAAATGATCACAACAATCACTAACGTTGCAAGGTTAAAGAACTCCCACCACCAATTTCTTCACCACATTTAACCCAACTCCATTTTATCTACCAGATAAATCAACTGAAAACAAAACTTGAAGTGCCTATAGTACTCTATGCAAAAATCAATCAAGCCGTAGGTTTCTGAAGAGAAGAGCCAAGCAAAAATTATACTGAGCACATGATCAAATGTTTTAAAAAGATATTCACTATGGTTTCAAGCCCAGCTACTGTTCTGAGCTTCTAACATTAAGGATGTGATTTGGCAAGGGTTAACAACATTTTTAAAATCTAGGAACTTGATTTCTTTTACAGCTTTACAAAATCAGATCTGAAATTTCCTCTGGCACTGGTTAGGCCGACGACTGTAGTGTGCTGAGACGCACACAGAGCCGCTGCTGTGGCATCGACTGTAGCACACGAAGACACGGGCGCCAGCGTAATAGCTGTAGTGACTTCGCCCTGAGGCTCGACGACGTCTTCCAATAGCGTCTTCTCTTCTTCCACCAACGATTTTCCGACGATGTCTTCTACGTGAGAGAGAGAATGAGATGAGAGATAAGATAGAAATGAAATAATTAGAGTTTCAAAGCGAAATTTGATGAGGTAGAATGGGGTGTGGATGCATAGGTAGGTAGATTATTTTAATTTTATAATGTTATTTATTAATATTACAAATTTAAGTTAACACATGAATTTTGAAATAATTTAACAAGATTGTTAGATTTGAAATATGATTATTAGATAGTTGTGTAGATTTTTCTTAATTTAATACACAATAATTTACGCATATAAGCTCACATGATCGATTTAAAAATTCTTTACATATTATCTTTTTGTTTCGAACTTTTGTTGCTTTTTCAAATTTGAAAAACAAATTCTGCATTCGAATTCCCAGTTTATAATTTCTAGGAGACAACTTGCGGGGCATATATGGCTGAATTCCACTTTGATGAAATAATCAAGGTCATTAATATAGACGAGAAAAGATATGAAAAGGGTAAAAATATCTTGACATTCCTCTTTGTTACCTTTAATTTCTTGAAATTTTATTTAATAAAATAAGTACTGAAATAGAGTGAAGAGTTTTTAGCTAAAGGTTTTATGTTGTTCCAGCTTCGTGCATAGAAGCCCAGACTGAAGATAAAGACGTGCATCTGGAACTGGATGTGCATACTGAGCTATATCATATGGTATCCCAGACTCTCAGTTTAGACGGTTCGGCTGTTACTGGGTACATTCCTGAGGTTCACTTTCTTTTCATTCTTTCTTGACGCAGAGCAAAATAAGGAATTCAAGCGAAAACTGTAAGAACATCAGGAAACTATCAAAGAATGAAAGATAAAAATTAAGAAGTTTTATTAATTCCAAGATGTCCAAAAACAAAATCTTAACCTTTTATATTTATAAGTGTTTAAACGAAAACCTAGCATAAAGGAACTAAAATGGTAAAGAATTCGAAATAAACTAAATGAATAAAATAGCACTAAATCTTAAAAACTAGTTTTTGAGTCTTAAACGAACTCAAATAGGTAAAATCTACCATACAACAGCAAAGCTGTGAGTTCAATTTGGCTGATCATTCCCTTTTCGAAAAGGTATTATCGGCTCAAATCGAAGCTCGAATACCAAATCTACAATCTATTGTTTTTTTTCATTTCGGTCCAACTTTTCCATAATCCACTTGACCATCTATTCTACATCATGTGTGCATGAGCCATCTAATTACGGCCTTTTAGATAATCCATTCAACATGGATTACTCCTATTTAGCAACTAGTATTTAAGGAAGATCTAGGATAATACAATAACCATATTGTGGATTGAGTTTGATTTTCTTAATATTGTACTCCTATTGCACGGCGAACAGAAATCACTTGCGGATAAATTTGAGTATGTCATGCATGGGTTGCTGTATAAGATGTCAGAAGATAAAGAAAAAAAAAATGATGAAAGCAACGGTGTTGAAGTGTACGCTTTATATGCCCCTTTTTTCAAAGAAATTTATTTGCTTAGTATTGTCTAATCCTCCCTTCCAAGCATGCTATCAAGGATAGTAGTGCCTCATTTTGTGTTGAAATCAAATTTCATTTCTTATGGTGTCTTATTGCTTTATAGTTTTCTCCATGGATTCAATCTTTTTGTTTCTTGCTCTTCTGATTTGGAGTTTCTCTTCCTTTTCTCTTTTATGATGACAACAAGGTGGTATATATTTCATTTGGAGGGCTTCAGCTAATGATAAAGGAAAATGCATAAGCTCAGAATTGATCAAAAGTTGTTTCTTCTCTTGAGGAAGATTTGAAACTTAATTTTGTTTAGAATGTGTGGTCGATGTGGTCGATTTGTATGAGATTTCTGGAAGGTTTTGTTTTATTTACTGTTACAGTCTCTTTTAAAGATGGAGCAGAAATGAACTCCTCAATATTATGCTGAGAATCTTCTGTGGAGCCTTTACCTCATGTTTATAAAACTGAAACTTTTTGAGTACATTCTAATTTCTTGTGAATGCCCTGCATATTTCCGGAGAACTATGAAATGTGGCATATTCACTCGGAACACTCCCTTCTCATTTTCAATCTTTTCTTAAAAGATCCACTGATATAGGCCAACGCAAGCTTAATAGCTTGAATAGGATGATATATGGTCCAGCTTTTGTAATGAAGGATTAGAACGTTTTAAGGTACCAATCGACTGAGATTGAGAAACATTTTGAAGTTGAATTGTTGAATTTCGTTTTCTGACAAAGTCATTAGAAACTAGCTCCTGACCAGGATAAGATAAGCTTGTTCTGTGTCTAATTTTTTAGATAGAGACCAAGTTATTTGTTTGGGTAACATCCTCTCTTCTGTAGTGAAAAACGGCAATCTCATCTTTGCAGAATAGGAAGTTAATTGACTAAAACACTTGATTCAATATCTTCCCTGCTAGCGATGACTACAAATCTCTCATTATGAAACATCGCATCATTCCTCCTCATGCCTTTTGTGTTCAGCCTTCTGTTATATTCATTCTTGAGTTAGATAGCTTCATTTTGATCAATAAAGTTTTATAATAACTAGAGATAGAATAAGCAGATACTTGAAAACAGTAACAAATAAGTGAGCACAGTTGAGAGTTTAAAACGTCGTCCCAGACATTATTGAAATCAGTACTACGGGTTATGGTGGTGGTGGTTAAAAAACAAAAAACCGATAACTCATCTATCTTGGATGCACCTTCTTCTTCTTGACATGGCAATTATGATCATGCATAGTTGTCATGCACCCCAACTTTCTCTTCATTTCTCTCCACAAGCTTGGTTTCTGCCTTTTCACATTTGCGCAGCTGCCTCTCTGAATCTCTCTCATTAGTTGGCAATCCCTCTCTAGCTCCAAAACCTTACTTTCCATCTTTTCCATTTCAGCCCTTGTTTCTTCTTCGTCTTCCTCGCTCTTCAAGAGCCTGTCATCAGAACCTTGCACTTCATTTGTGATGGTTTCCCGAAGCTGCAACTGCCCTATGAACAAAATCTGCACCACTACGCGCAATGGCAACCTTTCATTCTGCGCAGCATGTTCACGAGCTTCAACTGACATTTTGTTGCAATCCAAAACCCTGCATAATTTCTCTCTTTCTGATTCTGTAAGATGCCTATGCTTGTCTAGATATATATCTATAGCTCTGTATACTCCATCCGAACTTCGATCTGTCCCTTCTGATACTGCTATCGACATATCAGCAAGTGATAAAAATGTGCTCATCTTCAAATCTCTGTCACTAGCAACTTCTGCCAAGAAATTATCAACTAATTCAGCCACTTTGATGAATCCAGAAGCATCTGGACCTGTATAATTGCTGTAGAAATTCTTCAAAATTCTTCTTATGCTCTCTATATCGTACTGTTCATCCCCTGTGTATCCTGGGGAAGGTATGAATAGGTCTTTCACATTTGCCTGATCTAATTGCTTTCCAATTCTGATCTCCAATCCATTTTTGCAGTGAATGCTAGCATGAAGTGATACTGCAGATTTTAGCATTTCAAACAGAAATTTGCAAGGAAATATCCCTTTCTGATGAGGAAGCAATCTCTCCAAAGATTCAACTATCTCTTTCTCACCATCCTCTTCTTTTTCGAACACCCATTTCTTCGCATACTGACAAAGAGATGAAGCAACATATTCTTGTGGGACTTTACGCTGAATCATTTCATGAATTGCAGGTTCATAAAACCTCAACGAGAGTGCTTTTAAATCCTCAGGTTTCCACTCAAGATCAAAAAGTCTCCTCCGAGTGTTTGGTCTGTAAACATTGTCCCTTTCATCACTATCATCATCATCCGAAGACAAGTTCTTGATCGGCTCTCCAAGTAAACGTGGATCTTCCTGCACCTTTACAACGATAGATTCTATACACGCATCAACTAGGCCAAGTTTTACTGCATGTTCAAGAACAATTTCTGCACTGTTTAGAGCTTTGATGGAATTGTTCCAATTAGGAAGAATTTGGTGTTCAAAGAAGTAGAGGGCCTTGTTTAGTAGATTGTTAGGACAGTGGTTTTCGGTCATTCCGAGGTAATGAGCAATGCATGCCACTTGGACAACATTTTCGTTCGACAATTTGATATCATAACCATGGCAGAATCTCCCAACAAGCTCAAATGATTCTGGATCAGCAGGAATGTCGCGCAATAAATGAGAAAGATCATTTTGAGGGTATTCTTTCAACAACTTTGCTAGTTTAGCTGATTTGGTGGCCGCCAGTTCCTAAAGGTACATAAAATAAGCAGTTTGACAAAAGAAGTGATTTTCAGAAAGAAATTTTGCATGCAATACTAAACGAGATTAAACAGTATAATAGATCAAATCTCGTCGGCTCATGTTGTCTATACAATATATTTGAGAATGCAAATGCAGTTTGAGGGAGATTTTTACCACATCCAATGTGAATTGTACTCCACGTATATGAAACTGGACTTCTGGTGACAATTTGGACTTTGGTCTCCTGAACAATATGGAAAAACGTCGATCTTAAAAGCTGCTTTTTCCAATTATTTTGGCATTAAGTCCATGCTTACAGAGGGAAAAAGTGAAAAGTAACTTAAAAGCAGGTCCGGAAGCTACGAGGAATGCAGTGGCTTACCAGGTTGGACGTTCTATGCTGTGTCTGGATGCCATTTCATTTTACTTCATCTACTATGTTAAAATGTATCAAACTAGATTTATACAACCTGCGAAAATATGCAAAATCACATGTATCAACACAAAAAACTATAGTTCACAGATAAATAGTGGGTGAGATCGGTCGAGTGGTGTCAGTTATAACATGTTTATGGATTGAACAAGATTCAAGTTGAAGAAAGGATTGCTCATGAATTTTTAACAAGAAAATTGGAAGTAACATACCTTGACGAAAAGAGTAAGTGCAAGAACTTCAGTGCAGATTGCGGGGGATAAGTAAAAATTCTTTCAATGTGGAATGCAAAAGGGTAATCAAACATGATAACATTGATTTGGAATTTGACTAAGTTAACTGAGTGCCGTTGTGTTTAGGATTTTTTGGGATAAGTTAGTTTCAAATGAGATTTTCTTGATATTCAGTTGAGTTTTAGTAGATATGAATCACTTATTCTCCAAATAGATTAAACAAAAAGTAAAAGATTTTTTTTTTTTTTTGTTATTATTATTTTATTTTTCCTGCTTGTGACCCTTGGATTAATTAAGTCGATGTTCTCCCTCGTGTGTTATTTTTTGACCCCTTCAAAAATGTCATTCGTGTTTATGATGCGTTAGATGTTGAGATTGTTTCGTGAAATGAGAAATTTTAAGACATACTTGATACATTCAATCGCAAAAATAACTAATAAACAAATGGCATATCTTTATTTGAATTATATCGAGTCTGACTTCTGATCAATTCAACATATAAAAGTTGAATTATTCTTCTTGTAGAACCGAGGTTAACAACTTCCGTTGACAATGTATTCATAGGAAGGGGGACCCATGATTTTTTTATTCAGTGTGGGCCCCCCTCCCATGTGTCTAATTGTCAACCGGGATTGTCAACCCCAATTATACACATAGCACAACTGATAAAAGTTTTACACCCGGACTTCTGACATGCAAATGGCTTTAGATTTTGCAAAATACTGGTAGTAATTTGCTAGTAAACATTAAAAAAAATAGTTATGTTAAAATTACGTATAAGTTTTTCTAATGTATTTGTTATTGTTTTTCGGAAAATAAAGCTATGGTAATATGGAATATCTGCCATCCCTTGGTGCCTTACGCTCAATTTTTTTTTGTTTTTTTTTTTTTTTTTTGTTTTTGAGTTCTGACCCTTTATTTTATTTATTTATTTATTTTTAATTGAGGATCCGAACTTTTGATGTTTCATTAACATAATTTCTTGCAGTGAATTAATAACTAAAATCAGTGTTTTAAGAAGCATAAAACATGATTAGGCGTGAAGGAAAAATTTCAAGCTTTACGAACTTAGGCAAAGCCTATGCATAAAAAAAGATTTTCTTATTTTTAATATTATTTCATTAATTATTTAATAATTTTTAAAATGATAGTTAAAATAATACATATCAAACATTTAAATATAAAATACTATATTTACTTAATAAAGCTTACAATTAGCCAATAACAATTTTCAAGTTTTCGAAATAAATCATTTTTCATAGTTTCAATTTTCAGTTAAACAAATCCTACTTAATTGATTTAGAGGAACTTCATATATACTTTTTGAGTTTTGAGACTCAGATCATAACTATATAACATAGATATCACCATAACTTAAATCTTATTTTAATATTTATTAGATAAAGTCATTTTTAATTTTTAATTTTTTTATAGATAAAGTCTTTTAAAAACCTGAAATTAAAGTCAAAAAAAGACTTTTTTTTTTAAAGTAAAAGAAAAAAATTAATAAAGCATGAATTGGGAAAACAAAAGAGATAAATAAAAAAATTCAGCTGTTTATGAATTTAAAAAAAAAAAAAATAGTGTAGGTAAGAAGTGGAGCATTTTGTTCGAGCTTTGAGTCTAAACGAACTTTTGAGAACACAGACTAAAATTAGATATCATTAATTAATGTGTAAGCCTTGAGTCCTGTACAAAACCAGATTTGGATTCAATTAGGGTCTTTAATTTTTTTTTTTCAAATATTTTGATTTTGACCTGGTAATTTTATCAAAGAACTTGATATAAGTTTGAAAAGCCAACTCTAGTTAAGATGTATTCTTGAAAGGACAAAGATACAAGGACAAGCCCTGCTTCACAGAGTCTATACAGGACACACACATGGAAGTTGGTTGGTGTTATATTTTTGACAATATTTTAATAATATGAGGCTCACTCCATGTGAGTGTTCTATAAAAATTTTGTAAATCATACCCCTGTACAAATGACATTTTCCTTCTTGAAAATATATTTTTAATATAAACTTCTAGGACAGTAAGGAATTGCGTGACCAGTCCGCGATAAGTCTATTTGTATTAGATATTGAGGTCGTCGATTGCCAATGTCAAGAAAAAGATTTTTCTGCCATGTCACGAAGGTTATAAACTCGTTTTTGCTCCTCCCTTCGAATCTAATAAGACCCATCCTAGTTGGTACCTAGTTTTCCAACTAGTGTTCTGTCGTAGTACCAAGTCTCTAACTTGAAATCCGCATTGTTTGACCCTATTGTTGAAGTACTTGGTTGTCTTTTGCTGGTAGGAGGCGATCTTTAATCTATGGCAGAAATTTTCGAAAGTGGGATTGCAAAGTTGTCGATCTTTGTGCAATTTCGAGTGTACGGGCCACACTGAAGCAACAAACGATGGACTTCCACATGAAGTGCTACAGCTTGGCCTCTGAGATAGTGGTTCGGCTTCGACCCATTTAGTAAAATATTCCACAGCTACAACATGATCTCGAGTTGGGAAAAATGGAGTACATGACTTTTGAATCTTTGAAGAACCCAGTTTGCATATCCTACATAGGTAAAATCAGGGATGAAGAAGAAACCATAAATTTTGCCAGGCATTATAGAACACTTTTGAATGACAGATTCCCAACCCCACCAAGGTAACGACTTCCTAGAATGTTGAATCAATTCGTTTAAAAATTGATACGATTAAAATTTTTAATTACTCCCTGTATTTAACAAATACAATTTTTTTGGTTAGAACTATCCAAAGTGTGATAGATCATCTATCGTGCTAGATGCTGTCAACAATGAAAAATCACAAAGGACTGCGAACAAGCTCAAAGTTGTCGTACAGAAGAGGAGACGTAAAGAGAGGCTCAAGAAGAAACTGAATAACACTGAGGTTGAAGTACAAACTATTGATGATGATGTTACAATCAAACTTGTTCGACAAAAGTGGCCTAATTGCCTACTCTTAGGGTCTGTTGATTGCAAATGTGGAAAACGTAAATCAATTTCATATACATTGAAAAAGAAAAAATCATCAAAATCATACGAATGCATTTTCCATGAAATTGAACAAAAACATACTATAAGGGTCCGTTTGATTGCAAATATGGAATTGAATTGAATTGAAAACGAATTCCAAAAAATTGAATAGCCTAGAAATTGCTTTTATGGGAGTTGCAAATTATTGTTTTTGATTGATATAATTTTCCACGTAAAAAAATTTTTTGATGTTTATTTGACTTTGTTTTACATAAAAATCGTCAATTAAAGGGATAAAATTTACTGGTAATGAGTATGAAATTTGTTAACATTGCCCAAAAAAAAAAAAAAAAAAATCAAAAAAATCAAAAAAATCATCTATCTTTTGTTGCTCGTTTGTCTTTGTTTCACATGAAATTTGTCAGTTAAGGGGAAATATTTTTTTACAATAATTCTTAAAATTTATTCCCATTACAAAAAAAAAATGAAAAAAAAAGGAAGGAAAAAAAAAACGTTAAACTAGGGTGGAAAACCAAGAAAAGAACAACTTCTAAGACAATCAAACATAGATTTCACTGGCATTGAAAATAAAATTTATTTCTATTACCAAAAAAAAAATCAAAAATCAAAAAAATCATCTATCTTTTGATATTCGTTTAGAGTTGTTTTACATGAAAATTACAATTCCCACCATTTTGATGGGAATTGTTTTTCATCAAGAAGCAAGAAAGGGCTTATGTGGCATGGGTTTATGGAAAATGTTTTCTATGAAAAATTTCTACCCTTAAACATGTCAAAAAGTGAGAAATGAAATTTAATAGAAAATGGAGGCATATCAAACATAGTTTAAGTGTTTGTATCTTGAAATTTAAACTTCATTCCACTTTCGTATCAAACAACCAAAATAGAAAACGAATTTCTCGAATGTGACATTTTCCATGCAATTCACTCCAATCAAATGGACCCTTAGCCTTTGATTGGACCCTTAGCGTCAAAGGCCTAGAAGAGCTTCAGCTAGATATTCACAATTCGCTGGAGTATTTTCTCGTGTTTAATCCACAGTAATTTACTTGCTAGGAATGCTTAAGAATTTATACATAGTTAATGGTTAGACATTGTTTTGAAATTGCCCGGCCGGAGGCCTGTTTAGATCAGTTTTCCTTGAACGTGAAATTACTCAAGTGGAGCAATACACTTGGAAAACTAGAACATCAGGTTCTTCGAGCTTAAGTTATACTTAAAAGAGTAGGATAAGATGTATCCACAGCCAGCCAAAAGTGAATGTTTAATAAAAACAAGAAATTGTGCTCAAAACTGAAGAAGCGATATAGAATTTGAGGGATCAAGTCATAAGTGAATACCTATCTATATAAAATAAAACCATGAAAATCTACATTATTAGGATCCCAAATCAAAACCTCAGAGGAGATTATATAATCAGTTGTAAACATAACTGTACATACAATCCAGAGAAAAAACTTAAACAAAATTGGTTGTACTTCATCATAAAGCTAACCTCTGATAATTTTGTAGAGAAATTTTATTGAACCGCTAACCGCTGAAGATGATCCAAGAAGACCTCAAAGCTAACATCATCCGTAAACAGGATATCGCCTCCAGGAACAGCTGGAATATCCGAGTTGTATGTAGCCGAAGGATTCAATTTTGCAAGCAAAAAACGAGCCTACAAATAATTCACTTAAATCAGTAATGCTATCTTACTATTGCTATGGCGCTTTGAGGACCATTTCTTGTAACATGATGCTAAATTAATATGTTCATTTTCACAATAAACCACCAATCCACCACACACCCCTAAAAAAATGTAGTAGATATACACCAACAGCCCATCGTTTGAACTTTTTTGCAAAATTCAGGAATAATCATTTACCTATCTCTACTAATCCAGAAGTTTAAAGCTCACAATTAACCTCAAGCAGTTACAGAAACGGTGGTAATTCTATCTCTTACTGTAGCACTCCCAAACACCAGCAACTTCGCTCCATCAATTTTTGAGAAAAAGAGAGTCAGAAAAAATAAATAAAGAAGTTTCACTCTACATACACTTCAGCAACAAAGTTCTCTTTTATTTACAAATTAACCAAACTGTTCATCATCAGACTGAAGAAACCTCAATTTCTCCCTTTTTTTCGCTCGTTTCTGTAAGGATGCTCTCCTCATTCACATACGCATGGTGATGAAACTGAAGAAGACTGATACAGTAATCAAAAGAGAAAATCCAGAGTTCGAATCATCCTCTGTTTGCATTAAAACCCCACCTTAAGAATTTATCTCATCCCTTAATACAATCACAAGTTTGAACTTTGAACATTAGAATACCTTAAAACGTAAATAAGTGCTACTATTCCTCAGATGTAAATGATTGGAGATTGAAAACAACAGGAATTCTATTTTGCAAAAAGCTTAGAATTGTTGCACATAATTATCTGGGTATTCTGCTCCAACATGGTACCACATCAAATAGTTTAATGCCTTCTACCGTGGAACTGTATGTGTAAACAATTGATTTAAGGTCATTTTTGCACGTCCGAAAGGAAGGGAGAGAGAGGAAATTAGAAAGGTAAAAGCAGAGAAGCAAACAGGTTTCATAGGATGGTGTAAGGAATTTGAAATGAAGGTAAAGTTTGGCACCCTCCGAAGGACAGAGAGAGAAGTATGAGAGATTTTACTGAAGCATGATATGGTAATATGTATTTTAACTGAAGGTACAGGTCGGCCTCTTCTAAATGAGGTAAAGAATTATTACAAGTTTCACTGAAAATACAGGGATTTTCTGGTAATTAAGAATAAAGAAGGCACGGATTCACAAAATGAGGTTTGGAGATGACCATGCCAATCATTTGTTAAGACTTAAGAGACTATGCGACAAGACCTCCACAATGACCGCCATTCTTCCTACCAGTATACATTTTTCCCAATGCTTCCATCATAAAAAAGATGCATATCCATCCCACAAAACTAACAGGTCATTCAGAGCCAAAGGGTAAACATCAAACAAGTTAAAATAGACCTGGCTCAAAGGATTTCCTAGAATCAAAGATTTACGAGTTTATAAATTCCAAACACTATTTTTAAGAATGCAAAGGGAAAATACAAAAGCAAGCAATAACTAATTTATTCTAGCCAGTTGCAATGAGTCGCTAACGGCCGGTTAAATGTAACAATAAAAAAGGTGAATAGTGTAAACAAGGTGTCGATTAAGCCAAGTGCTCATTTGTGGAGATATAGAATAAAGACCTGAGAACCATGCTGATCACAAATTACTAAGCGAGGTACTGGAAATCTTTCTTTAATTATTGCATCTGCATCGTCTCGTGGAGCTTGTAACAACTGAGTGAATGCCTGCAAGGACAGTAACATTTGAAATGAACCCATCAAGTTAAGCTCAGATGCAAATTAATAGTGACAGACCTTCCCCTAACAAGCTAGTCAAGTTCTCCATCCAAAACCCAGAGTCCGTTATTCGACTTGGATAAAATAAAGCACCACCATCATGAATGCCATGTGGCTGCCTAACTGATATGGTTAATTTATTGAGATGTCCACAAGCTTCTCTCCAGGCCAACACAGCCTCCTAATTGTGCTAATTCTTGATAACATGTGTTGGGGAAGGGAGGAAAGTAGATTTTGTTAACAAAATAAAAAGTACCCACGTTTTACACAAAGCGTTTGATGACCTCCACTATATGGCTTTATGAATTGTTTCAAATTATGTATTACAAGTAAATTTTAAAGCACCTAACAGATTTTATTGAATACGAAACAGAGATTTGTGATCTCAATTCCAGAAGAAATCGGACAGTCCATTGAATTTAATGAAAGTACATAATACACATAGTGAACAGATAATCTATATATAGCAAAATATTTGTATGATAACAATAGAATTCGATATAAAACCAACACTCAAGTATTTCTCAACTTTGCTCAAAGAGTACACAACTATGATGCTCGGACTTGAGAATAGGTATCGGGTACTTATTTAAGCGACGGATCTTTTATTTTTTAAAATGTAGGTTAAGGAGACATGGCAAAAAAGAGTCTAAATTTCGGATACGGGTAATTAGGTATGTCTTTCAAACTTCAATTTTTTTTAAAGGTAATCAAATATTTTATTAATCAATACATAATACACGAAAAATGTATTATCAATTTAATCAAGAAAGAAACATGAAATTGGGCAGCTCATCTATATACCTAGTAGCCGCAATATTAAACCAAGCATATAATGTCAAATATTCTCTAATCTACTCTGTTGTCCGTGTTCGATCATCAAAACAACAACTGTTTTGTTTCCTCGCACGCACCATACGATGGAACTCGTGATAAGGTCCCATACAAGTTTGCTATTCTTATCCCGAAACTTTCTCCTTTATGCCTTTAACACGTCTTCCATACGCCTAGGCAACACTCAATCCATGTGTTGGGCGCCACAATATCATACCACAATAAACGAGCAATATCATAATGAAGGAACAAGTGGTCAATCATCTCCTCATCTCTCTTACACGTACAACACCACTCTGTAACATAAAAACGCCTTGTTCAAAAATTATCCACCGTTAAAACCTGTCCCTCACCACCGTCCATAGTAAAAATGTCAACCGTGGAGGCAGTTTACATCTCCATGCCATCTTCTAGGGAAACGAATTCTCTAGAAGTCCCAATAAAGATCTAAAATAAATGTCAACTAAAAAAAATCTCTTGTCAACCTCCACCTGCTACAATCATCCTCTCCAACCCTAATGTGTACCTCGTACAGAGACATCAAAAACAGTGCATAATCATCTAATTCTCAATCATAATCATCCAATTCTCAATCTTGCAAACCCCGGCCAAACACAATATTCCAATTGGAACTCCCATTATGTATATCTAAGACATCATTCACCATGGTAGACGGCTCCAACACAGTACGTACGATACAAAGAAGGAAATCTCACTTTTAGCGGTTGATCTCCACAAATCATCCTAAAAACTAATGGTATAACCATTTCTCACTACAAAAGTCAATTTATCCCGAAAATCGCTTCACCCTGGCCAAATACACTGCCACAAACTCACCCCATAAGAACTACGATTTTCAATTGAGCACCATCCCCTTCCATAAAACCATATTTTGCCCTTATAATTTTTCTCCAAAAACTCTCCCTCTCCACTTCGAATTGTCACAACCACTTATCCAACAAGGTCTTATTGAACAGTACGAGATTCCTCAGTCTGAGACCACCCAATCTTATGGGGGAACAAACTACACCCTAATTAACCAAATGTAATTTCCTCTCCTTCCCTAATCCTCCCAAAGAAACTCCATATAGATCCTCTCTAATCTTTTTCCCACTATCGTAAGAATAGGAAACAATGACAAAAAATAAGTAGGGAGATTCGACAATGTAAACTTTATGAGAGTAAGATGGCTTCCCTTTGAGAGGTACATACGCTTCCAGCCCGCTAGCCTTCTCTCCATCATTTCCACAATATTGTTCCAAATATGTGCACTTTTAAACCGTGCTCATAAAAGAAGCCCAAGATATGCAGCCAACTCTTCCACGTTATCGACCTCTCCCACTGTTATAGCCTCAAATTTCCCCATATTTATTTTTAATCAAGATATAGCTTCAAAACATAGGAGCAAACGATGTAGGTTACTAAATTGCTCAACATCTACATCATAGAAGATCAGCGTATCATTTGCAAATAGCAAATGAGATACTTGCGTCTGCTCAACCATAAAGCCCCTTAACAAACTCTCCCCCATTGCCTTCTCAAGCCTCCATTACAATGACAAATAGCAATTGAGACAAAGGATCTCTTACTTCAATTCTCTGCTACTACGAAAATAACCCTCTGAAGTGTCGTTTACGATAACTGAGAAAGAAACTGTAGAGATACAAAACTGAATTCACTAACACCACTTATCCTCAAAACCACATTACCTGAGCATATACGAAAGAAATCCCTAGTTTATGTGATCTAAGCCTTCTAAATGTCAAGCTTACATAACATTCATAGAACCCCTAGGTGCAGTCTTGAGTTAATGCATTTATTTGCTATAAGTACAGAATCCAAAATCTGACATTCTTTGACAGAAGCATTTTGAAACTTAAACATCATTTTCTCCAACACCTCCTCTAGTCTATTAGCCAAGATCTTCACGATAATCTTGTACACCCCACTCAATAAGGGGCTACCAAAATCAATTGTTCACAAAGAATGAAATGAGTATTGAATAAGGGGCTAAGATGAATAAAATAGAATTTTGGGGTTTAATTTTCAATTATGAGAAGTTAATTATTAAAATGTTATGTAAAATAGAAAATGAGGGACTTCATTGCAATTTGGATTTGGTGGAGCATTAAATAGCACTATATAGAACCCATTTTCATTTTATACAAATAAAACCCTAAACTGCTAATACAGAGAGGGAAAGAAAAAAGGAAGAAGGAAAAATCTAGTGCCGTAGCCTTTCTCCACCCTCTCAGAGGCATCTCTAGGTTTATAGAGTGTAGAAACGGGAAAAAAAAAGGATGAAGTGTCCAGTTGAAATTTAGAGGATCCAACACATATCTCATACTCATACCCATGTCATGTGTCCTAAAAATTGAGAGCTCAAATAAAAATTAGTAATCTACAGAATAAAATTTTCCTTGATTAACGGTAAAAGTTATAATATCTTGCAATCTAGATATTTTTGAAAATCAAGGAAAAAATTAAGGGAACATTTTTAATAGGATCATTTGCATTACATGGTTAAGGCTGCAAGACTTTAGTATTGCACCTTTCTTACCTTTATTTATTTTGAATGAGAGAGCAATATCCCCCAAGAGATTGCAACCATTTACATCACAAAAACCAAGGCTTCATAAACTGTGATGAGTTTTAAGGTTCTATTTGACTATTTCTCACAAAAAAGTCTACCAGTCGCAATAATAAAAATCAACAAAGTTCATATGGAATTTAGGAAGTGATTGCTACCCTTCCATTTTTATTTTTACTTATTTTTTTCTGATAAAAGATTACCCATTCTTTCATTCAAACCTTTACAACATCAACCTTTACAAATTAATGCTTGATACCAGGCACCTCTTCCTGTCGTCTGATTATTTTGTGTTGGTTTTACTGTTGAATGCTAATGAATTATCCTTCAAAAGTGTCATGAGGATAAGGTTATGCATGTGCCATTACTTTTTACATCTAGTTACCTGATGTTCAGGCTGTTCATGATATCCAGCTTTTCGCCATTGAGCAATAGTTGATCCATGAAATATGACAATGATGAAATATGAATCTAAAAGAAGGATTCTATCAGCAGCAATGGAAGCCACATCGAGAAGAACAGGTTCTGGTCCAGAATGAAAAGAATAAGAGATCAATGAGGGTTGAATCATTACAACTGAATTAGCAACATTTTCTCTGTTAAGAATCATTCGAAAATATGCTGTCTCATCTGGGCTGTTGTTAAAGACCTGTATCAGAAAAAGTAAAAAATGAAGCTTGAGAATAAGAGTTGACTGTTTATTATTGTAAAGCTGAAGCTATGACCAACGCCACAATACATGAAGTAAATGTGCATAAGATCAAGGAATATGTTTGCAGGGAGATCTCCATTTTCCATTAGATTTATGTATCTTCTTTCCTTAATGCATATAACTCATTTTTTTACACAAACTGATGTTCTATCTCTGTCTCAGTACTCACAATCTTTTGTGAAATCTTAATGATAGGGAGGAATTATCTGATATACTCTTGTATACCCTGTCTAATTATTTATCTTCCACCCATCAAGTTCATAGAATTTGGAACCTTGATATCTTAGTAAATTTCGCATTTTTTTAGAATTAAAAATTTCCAGGACAGAAATATTTATAACAAATAATAATAAAAGATAAATTTATCCAGCAATTGTCAGGAAAACAACCATATCTCCTCCAAAATCATGCATTCACTAACAAACAGCTTTCCATTTTTCAGCATGTGATGTGGAAGACTAATAAGATGTATAATCATCATTTTAAGCAAAGAGATTATGCAAGGGAATGGAATCGTGGAATAGACTTTGAAAATACAAATATGGTAGGTGTAATTCTTTGTTCTTCAAAGGACATGTTTCTAATACACTTTACAGGTTAAGGAAGGTACAGGAGAAGCATATTTGGTGTTCTCTAGTGGCAGTACTTGAAGCATTTGGACATTATATTGCAGCCCAAATGCAGTTTAATAACATGACCTTTAGGACTAATTCTAGCCCAGTCTTGAACAATAGCCCAGTCCCACTCAATAGAATTGGGTTGAGTGATGAGCAGTCTCAGACAGCAGCTCATTCTCGGTCAACAGAGTCAGCTTTTGGCGAATGACCCCATTTTCCAAGCAAAAACAGGTGAATGAGCAAAAGTCAGGCATGAAACCTCTGAACTCTTATAATTTGTGCCAAATTCCATTGTTCAGGGCTTCAAACACATTTACTGATTTACTGGGAAGTTAGGGCTTTATTTTTTATTATTATTATTATTATTATTATTATTATTATTATTATTATTATTATTATTATTATTTTGCATGACAGTACTTTCATACACACTATCATGCATTGTTAAGTTTGGTGGAGCATTAAATAGCACTATATAGAACCCATTTTCATTTTATACAAATAAAACCCTAAACTGCTAATACAGAGAGGGAAAGAAAAAAGGAAGAAGGAAAAATCTAGTGCCGTAGCCTTTCTCCACCCTCTCAGAGGCATCTCTAGGTTTATAGAGTGTAGAAACGGGAAAAAAAAAGGATGAAGTGTCCAGTTGAAATTTAGAGGATCCAACACATATCTCATACTCATACCCATGTCATGTCGTGTCCGACACGGGTACTCCGACCATTTCGAAGAATTTGAGCATCAAAGGTACACAATACATAAACACGATAAACAGTTACAGTCAATACATGAGTTACACTTCTATAATATATTAAAAAGCAATAGCAGGCTGAATAATTTTACATATCCACTAAAATTCTAGTTACATTCAAGTAAAAGTTTTAGTTCTTACTATGACATATATTATATAGTCCAGTCCATTTACGTCAAAGTACATTTACAGTCAACCTTCCAGAAAAGGCATAAGATAAGTAAAACAACTATCATGAAATATAAAGATAGCTTACAAAATTCAAAAATCATAATATATGATCAGAAAATGAAATTAAACGATATTTCATTAGTATGCTTCTTTTCCACTTGTTTGCACAATTTTCAACAATAATTTACTTAGCGTATTTGAGTGTATTTTTCTGATTTAGACTCTAGTTTAGAATATGGTTCTATAGTTAAAAGTAGGACCTAAGTCGTCCTAAAAATTGAGAGCTCAAATAAAAATTAGTAATCTACAGAATAAAATTTTCCTTGATTAACAGTAAAAGTTATAATATCTTGCAATCTTGATATTTTTGAAAATCAAGGAAAAAATTAAGGGAACATTTTTAATAGGATCATTTGCATTACATGGTTAAGGCTGCAAGACTTTAGTATTGCACCTTTCTTACCTTTATTTATTTTGAATGAGAGAGCAATATCCCCCAAGAGATTGCAACCATTTACATCACAAAAACCAAGGCTTCATAAACTGTGATGAGTTTTAAGGTTCTATTTGACTATTTCTCACAAAAAAGTCTACCAGTCGCAATAATAAAAATCAACAAAGTTCATATGGAATTTAGGAAGTGATTGCTACCCTTCCATTTTTATTTTTACTTATTTTTTTCTGATAAAAGATTACCCATTCTTTCATTCAAACCTTTACAACATCAACCTTTACAAATTAATGCTTGATACCAGGCACCTCTTCCTGTCGTCTGATTATTTTGTGTTGGTTTTACTGTTGAATGCTAATGAATTATCCTTCAAAAGTGTCATGAGGATAAGGTTATGCATGTGCCATTACTTTTTACATCTAGTTACCTGATGTTCAGGCTGTTCATGATATCCAGCTTTTCGCCATTGAGCAATAGTTGATCCATGAAATATGACAATGATGAAATATGAATCTAAAAGAAGGATTCTATCAGCAGCAATGGAAGCCACATCGAGAAGAACAGGTTCTGGTCCAGAATGAAAAGAATAAGAGATCAATGAGGGTTGAATCATTACAACTGAATTAGCAACATTTTCTCTGTTAAGAATCATTCGAAAATATGCTGTCTCATCTGGGCTGTTGTTAAAGACCTGTATCAGAAAAAGTAAAAAATGAAGCTTGAGAATAAGAGTTGACTGTTTATTATTGTAAAGCTGAAGCTATGACCAACGCCACAATACATGAAGTAAATGTGCATAAGATCAAGGAATATGTTTGCAGGGAGATCTCCATTTTCCATTAGATTTATGTATCTTCTTTCCTTAATGCATATAACTCATTTTTTTACACAAACTGATGTTCTATCTCTATCTCAGTACTCACAATCTTTTGTGAAATCTTAATGATAGGGAGGAATTATCTGATATACTCTTGTATACCCTGTCTAATTATTTATCTTCCACCCATCAAGTTCATAGAATTTGGAACCTTGATATCTTAGTAAATTTCGCATTTTTTTAGAATTAAAAATTTCCAGGACAGAAATATTTATAACAAATAATAATAAAAGATAAATTTATCCAGCAATTGTCAGGAAAACAACCATATCTCCTCCAAAATCATGCATTCACTAACAAACAGCTTTCCATTTTTCAGCATGTGATGTGGAAGACTAATAAGATGTATAATCATCATTTTAAGCAAAGAGATTATGCAAGGGAATGGAATCGTGGAATAGACTTTGAAAATACAAATATGGTAGGTGTAATTCTTTGTTCTTCAAAGGACATGTTTCTAATACACTTTACAGGTTAAGGAAGGTACAGGAGAAGCATATTTGGTGTTCTCTAGTGGCAGTACTTGAAGCATTTGGACATTATATTGCAGCCCAAATGCAGTTTAATAACATGACCTTTAGGACTAATTCTAGCCCAGTCTTGAACAATAGCCCAGTCCCACTCAATAGAATTGGGTTGAGTGATGAGCAGTCTCAGACAGCAGCTCATTCTCGGTCAACAGAGTCAGCTTTTGGCGAATGACCCCATTTTCCAAGCAAAAACAGGTGAATGAGCAAAAGTCAGGCATGAAACCTCTGAACTCTTATAATTTGTGCCAAATTCCATTGTTCAGGGCTTCAAACACATTTACTGATTTACTGGGAAGTTAGGGCTTTATTTTTTATTATTATTATTATTATTATTATTATTATTATTATTATTATTATTATTATTATTATTTTGCATGACAGTACTTTCATACACACTATCATGCATTGTTAAGGGATAAACCCAGATCGATTGAATACCGAAATATAAACCAACATATGCAGGCTTGGTGTATTTTTCCTAATAAGATTGACTTTTTTAGATGAAACTATGTCTTAATATTGTATCAGAACCCATTAAGTTCCAATAAGCAATTCAATCTGATCAAGACTCAAAAATGAGCAAGCGAATTTCAAAATTGATCTGCTTAATTGACCACCATTTTGCAGGGGTATGTTAAGATATAAATTCCACATCGATTAAATACTGAAATATAGACCAACATATAAAGATTTGGGTTATTCATCTTAATAATGTTGACTTTTTAAAATGAAAATCCAAGTCTTAACACAAACAACCTACTTTTCTGTTGCCTTTATAGGGACAGTGGATTTTTCTTTTCATCTCTCTGCACCACTGGGAAAACTTTGATAGATTAACAAACGAGCTGGGTCGCTATTATGGTTAATCAATACTAAATGCATTTTTATTTTTCAGTTTTGGCAGTTGAGGATATCATGTCCTCCTTTTTCATACTTTATTTCTCTCTAACAAAATTCTCTCTTCTGCCACATGAAAATGTGTACAAGGAACAATTAATACATATAAATAAGATACCATGTACCTGGACAAATTGTGAACGTCGTAAATTAAACATGAATTGAGGAAATATTGAAAATCTAGGAGATAAGGTGAAAGAAGATGGGGCATCCTTCTGGTACTCCCCAAACCGAGAACATAAATGAATCAATGATTTATCCAACCATCTAATGGGGTCAAATTCAGCCTGCAAGGAATATCAAACTTGGATAGTAAAAAACTTGCAAATGTCAAATACCAAGGTGAAGAGGCCATGAAATATAAAGATAGCTTACAAAATTCAAAAATCATAATATATGATCAGAAAATGAAATTAAACGATATTTCATTAGTATGCTTCTTTTCCACTTGTTTGCACAATTTTCAACAATAATTTACTTAGCGTATTTGAGTGTATTTTTCTGATTTAGACTCTAGTTTAGAATATGGTTCTATAGTTAAAAGTAGGACCTAAGTCGTCCTAAAAATTGAGAGCTCAAATAAAAATTAGTAATCTACAGAATAAAATTTTCCTTGATTAACAGTAAAAGTTATAATATCTTGCAATCTTGATATTTTTGAAAATCAAGGAAAAAATTAAGGGAACATTTTTAATAGGATCATTTGCATTACATGGTTAAGGCTGCAAGACTTTAGTATTGCACCTTTCTTACCTTTATTTATTTTGAATGAGAGAGCAATATCCCCCAAGAGATTGCAACCATTTACATCACAAAAACCAAGGCTTCATAAACTGTGATGAGTTTTAAGGTTCTATTTGACTATTTCTCACAAAAAAGTCTACCAGTCGCAATAATAAAAATCAACAAAGTTCATATGGAATTTAGGAAGTGATTGCTACCCTTCCATTTTTATTTTTACTTATTTTTTTCTGATAAAAGATTACCCATTCTTTCATTCAAACCTTTACAACATCAACCTTTACAAATTAATGCTTGATACCAGGCACCTCTTCCTGTCGTCTGATTATTTTGTGTTGGTTTTACTGTTGAATGCTAATGAATTATCCTTCAAAAGTGTCATGAGGATAAGGTTATGCATGTGCCGTTACTTTTTACATCTAGTTACCTGATGTTCAGGCTGTTCATGATATCCAGCTTTTCGCCATTGAGCAATAGTTGATCCATGAAATATGACAATGATGAAATATGAATCTAAAAGAAGGATTCTATCAGCAGCAATGGAAGCCACATCGAGAAGAACAGGTTCTGGTCCAGAATGAAAAGAATAAGAGATCAATGAGGGTTGAATCATTACAACTGAATTAGCAACATTTTCTCTGTTAAGAATCATTCGAAAATATGCTGTCTCATCTGGGCTGTTGTTAAAGACCTGTATCAGAAAAAGTCAAAAATGAAGCTTGAGAATAAGAGTTGACTGTTTATTATTGTAAAGCTGAAGCTATGACCAACGCCACAATACATGAAGTAAATGTGCATAAGATCAAGGAATATGTTTGCAGGGAGATCTCCATTTTCCATTAGATTTATGTATCTTCTTTCCTTAATGCATATAACTCATTTTTTTACACAAACTGATGTTCTATCTCTGTCTCAGTACTCACAATCTTTTGTGAAATCTTAATGATAGGGAGGAATTATCTGATATACTCTTGTATACCCTGTCTAATTATTTATCTTCCACCCATCAAGTTCATAGAATTTGGAACCTTGATATCTTAGTAAATTTCGCATTTTTTTAGAATTAAAAATTTCCAGGACAGAAATATTTATAACAAATAATAATAAAAGATAAATTTATCCAGCAATTGTCAGGAAAACAACCATATCTCCTCCAAAATCATGCATTCACTAACAAACAGCTTTCCATTTTTCAGCATGTGATGTGGAAGACTAATAAGATGTATAATCATCATTTTAAGCAAAGAGATTATGCAAGGGAATGGAATCGTGGAATAGACTTTGAAAATACAAATATGGTAGATTTAATTCTTTGTTCTTCAAAGGACATGTTTCTAAAACACTTTACAGGTTAAGGAAGGAACAGGAGAAGCATATTTGGTGTTCTCTAGTGGCAGTACTTGAAGCATTTGGACATTATATTGCAGCCCAAATGCAGTTTAATAACATGACCTTTAGGACTAATTCTAGCCCAGTCTTGAACAATAGCCCAGTCCCACTCAATAGAATTGGGTTGAGTGATGAGCAGTCTCAGACAGCAGCTCATTCTCGGTCAACAGAGTCAGCTTTTGGCGAATGACCCCATTTTCCAAGCAAAAACAGGTGAATGAGCAAAAGTCAGGCATGAAACCTCTGAACTCTTATAATTTGTGCCAAATTCCATTGTTCAGGGCTTCAAACACATTTACTGATTTACTGGGAAGTTAGGGCTTTATTTATTATTATTATTATTATTATTATTATTATTATTATTATTTTGCATGACAGTACTTTCATACACACTATCATGCATTGTTAAGGGATAAACCCAGATCGATTGAATACCGAAATATAAACCAACATATGCAGGCTTGGTGTATTTTTCCTAATAAGATTGACTTTTTTAGATGAAACTATGTCTTAATATTGTATCAGAACCCATTAAGTTCCAATAAACAATTCAATCTGATCAAGACTCAAAAA